CTGCTCTCTCTCTCTTTCTCTCTCTCTCTCAGTCCCTGTCCTTCTCCCTCTGCGTGTGCCTGCTATCTCTCTCTCTCTCTCTCTGCATCTGACCAGTTGTATGTCTATCTGCCMACATAATGCATGCATGCATATAAGCAGGATCACCCTCATGTAGATGCACGTGGTCGCATTTGCAGCCAGGACTAGATGTACCTGGTCGCAATTGCGTCCACATGTCAGTTTTGCACTTGATGCGATTGGAACATGTTTGAGTGGGCAAGTGGAAAAGACTCCTTCCAGTTTGATGCCGCTATAAGCGAAGAGATAAATACTGCAAACAAAAGGAGAGTACGCAGAGTAATTATCACGCCTGAGGCCAGTTACGTCGACAATTTACAGCAGAGAGCGTACACAGAGTAATTACTCGACTGCGAAGTATTTACTGCAATGATAATTTCTGCGGAGCAGAGGGATTACTCTGTATACGCTCACTGTGTACTTGATGCACCTCGTCGCAATTACGTCTACATGTCGGTTCCGCACTTGATGCACCTGGTCGCAATTACAATGACATGTCAATTCTGCACTTGATGCACCTGATAGATGCAGCTGGTCGCCGTTACGTTCACATATCAGTTCAGCACTTGATGCACCTGGCTGCAATGACAATCACATGTCAATTCTGCACTCGATGCACCTGGTTGCGTTTACGGCCCGGACTAGACGCACCTAACCCGGTCGCAAATGTCAGTTCCGCTCTTGATGCACCTCGTCGCAACTACATCCACATGTCAGTTGGAATACTCTCTAGTGTGAGCATGGCCCCTCAGCGGAGACAGCCGCATTTGCTGCAGCATGTCCTTATTATCTTTCAAGATGATGATGTTTGATGAAGAATCTCTTTCCCATGCAGCACCGTTGCCCATGCCATTCACGTCTTTTTCTGCCCACGATCTCCCCACGCCCCTGCCATTGCCAGCCGCCTGGTCATTCCTCGCAGGGTCGTCGCCACGATGGCTGGTCCCTTCAGAGCTACGACCGCTGACCTTAGCGTTCGAACGACTATCAGCTTGAACAATCTCTTCTGCTGACGACTCTGCATCTCTGGACGAACCGTTGTTCGAGCCGTTGTTGGAGGCGCCGTTGCTGTACGAACCGTTGGAAGACCTGTTTACATGGCTGGGTGTATTGAGAGGTCTCGGATCTGCGCTGGCCGTAACGGGCAGTAGGAAAAGCTCTCGGCCGGGGTCGAACAATTGGTAGTGCAACTTGTCATGAAGTTTGTCGAACAATTCCTTCTTAACAGCATCGAAAGCCCTCTCCAAGCGCTGAAGCTCCTCTGTTGCGTTCACATTGTACATGAAGTGTCCTTAGTACAGTTCAAAGCTGTCGCCCTGAGTATTGTCTACCAGCTTCAGAAGGGTTTCATAGCCTTTTGTGTTGATTGGTGTCGACTCCAACCCAAATTTCCCGAGCACCCTGCCAATTGTGTGGGTGATGAATTGAGTACTTGCTGCGTGCCTGTCGTGCTCCTTACACGACATCTCCACCGTACGACAACCCTGAAACAATTGAACCTCTTCCAAGTGTAATGAAATTCCTGACAAAATTTTGCCTTTTTCCCTCGCACAACGGACGCCTTGGTTACTCCTCCCCGTTCGCCCTGGTCCCCCTTGTCTATCGCTGCCTGCTCTCTCTCTCTCTCTCTCTCTCTCTCTCTCTCTCTCTCTCTCTCTCTCACAGTCTTCTCTCTCCCTCATAGTCTTCTCTCTCCCTCACACACAGTCTTCTCTCTCTCTCACAGTCTTCTCTCTCTCTCACAGTCTTCTCTCTCTCTCACAGTTTGTCTTCTCTCTCCCTCACACACAGTCTTCTCTCTCTCTCACAGTCTCTTTCTCTCTCTCACAGTCTTCTCTCTCCCTCATAGTCTTCTCTCTCCCTCACACACAGTCTTCTCTCTCTCACACAGTCTTCTCTCTCTCTCACAGTCTTCCCTCTCTCTCACAGTCAGTCTTCTCTCTCCCTCACACACAGTCTTCTCTCTCTCTTACAGTCTCTTTCTCTCTCTCACAGTCTTCTCTCTCTCTCACAGTCTTCTCTCTCCCTCACACACAGTCTTCTCTCTCCCTCACACACAGTCTTCTCCCTCTCTCACAGTCTCTTTCTCTCTCTCACAGTCTTCTCTCTCCCTCACAGTCTTCTCTCTCCCTCACAGTCTTCTCTCTCTCTCACAGTCTTCTCTCTCTCTCACAGTCTTCTCTCTCCCTCACAGTCAGTCTTCTCTCTCTCTCACAGTCTTCTCTCTCTCTCACAGTCTTCTCTCTCTCTCACTCCGCCCGTTGACCTGCCTAGACGCATGCTGTATTCCGCTGTGTACACCTGGCATGCTCCCTCCGAAACGGAGCCTTTTCCGCGGTGTACACCACGTACACCTTTTTCCCCCCCGTTGTGGTCCGCTGGCCTCTACTATATCCCGGCCGCACTCTTGCCTGTGAGCGTTAGCGGACGCGGACCAATGACTCAGTCTAGGCCAGGCTCGCAAGCCTGGGCCCGCCCAGGCTGCGGTACCAGAATTATACCGGGCCTGTTTCAAACCAGCGTACCGAGCCTGTTTCCAACCAGTGTCCCGAGCTTGATATACAGTGCCGCAACTTTTCCGGACCTGAAAACAATCTGCCGCCGAGGTCCCAAAACTGGAATATCTGTCAGAATAAATTAGCGCAGCTGTCCGGAGTCTGAAAATACGTCACCGTAGTGACACAGGTATCAACCGCACCCGAAGCACGTCAGGCGCGCGCCTGTCCATGTGTCCCCCGCACTCAGAACGTCTTAACAGTGGTCAGTGTTAGTGATCAAGCAAACCAGGAGAAGCGACTCAGGAAATCTCAGCCGTCAGGGGTAGTAAAAAAAATGACAAGCCCCAGGAAAAATATCCAATCCGGGTTCATAACTAACTTCGGGGTAATCGAGGCGAAATTAGGCCTCCCTCCTGATAATCATGCGTTCCCGTCCCTTTCATCAATTTTCATCATTCTCCCTTTTTCTTAATTTTATCGTTGGAAATATTAAATTAGTCGTGAGTTTGCCAAAATTAAATTCCAAGAAAATTTTTTATAAATAACCGATTTCGCTTTGTTTCTTTTTCCTTTTACCATTTTTAATATTTTTCTATGTTTTTAATTTCATTACCGAAAACATAAAATAACAAGGGAATTTCCCCCAAGTTTAAATATAGTGAAAAATGAAGAAAATAAAGAATATTGCGTTTTTCTCCACTCCTCTTTTGGTCTTAATCTTTTTCTTTTATTTTTAATTATGATATTAGAATAGACAAAAATTCGAGGCCTCATTTCGGCCCCGGTTGTATGCCGTCAAAATGCCGCGGCGAGGTCTGTTTCCGCGATCCCTCTCCGCGGCAGGCCAAAACGGTTCCAGTCCTCTGAACRACCGGAAACGACGGTCTCTAGATGCGCTCAGCGCACCCATCCATCTTGCTGTCTTTGGGGGTCACTCTTAAAATCCAGTGCGCCCAGAATCAGGGGTACCCTGAGTTCTCATAATTCCTGCAGCCCGGTCATCCCAAAGCACTGTCAAAACGCRGACTTAACCCTGAGCCTAAAACCCCTAAACTGCCGTTTTCAGGCGGCGCACTACTTGTGGCCGCCTGACAGTTAGCCCGGACCACTTCTCGACGCCCCCGTCGAGGCCTGTTCTCTCACGTCAAACGAAACGGACGAGCTTCAGGATAAGGGGCCGTAAAGGGTGCCCTAGTTGACGTTTAATTGCCTTACGTTTCAGTCCGTTTCTAGTTCTAGGGCTAAGCGGATGCTCCCTGACTTTCCTTTCCCGCCGAGTCCTCGGGCTTGGCAGGATCCTCCCTTTGTTCTGTCGTTGGCCCGAGAAGGGTGCTGCACCGCCAGTCTGTCGGATGCAGACTCTTCGTTTGGCCCTCTTAAGCACGAATAGCCATCTCTTCTTCCTTCCTAGAGCCAACCCTTTGACCTTTCTTTTCTCCACCCTCTTCCTCTTCTTAGAACTCTCTCCCGTCTCGTATCGCCTCGGGGGAAT